TGTGTGGCGGGGGGGGGGGTACTATAGTTTAACCTGACTGTCTGACTCGGACACTAAACCACAAACGTTCATCATGGTATGTTCTCGCGTGCTCCATCTCGGGCGATATGCCTACGTCGACGCCCTGTGCTTACGTTCCGAATGTTTAAATCGGACAATAGCTGGTTGATAACAATTACAAGTTTTGTACACAAAGAAGCACGTCTGACCTCCGAAATCATCAAAGGTTTATTGAGAACATGAGAGCCAAGTGCCATTAAACCAGTGTAGATAAAGCAGCAGCAGGGTGTTCCAATCATATCAGATACTCCAATTCCGGTCATTTAGCAACTAGGATGTCGGACTCGTGAGACTCGCTCAACTTGGAAGAGTAGGTCTTTTAGAGAGTCAAATATACGGAGGTTTTCTGGCTGACATGGTAGTGTTTTAACTAGAGTGAAGGCTGATTTAATCGGTCTCACGTAACGGAGAAAATCCCATTGATCGTTGTGAAATCGGTCAGATTATAATGCACGACATCCCTTAGCAGTCATTTATTAAATATCCTTCAATCGATATTACAATGCCGCCTCTAACAGGACCTATTAGGTTTGAGATTTCTTAATACGCAGTCCACGGAGAACACAGTAAACAGATGTTCAACCGTGTGAGGTCATGAAGCCTAAAACAGAGCGGAGTCAAGCACGTTCGCCTACTAACAATTCTGAAGGAGTTTCAAGATCAACTGTACTAACCGTAAGGAAAGGTATCAAATCTCGCGTTACTCTGGCATAAGACCACTGCTCGAAGACACCGTCATGCACGACTGTACTCCGAATAACACAATCGAACCCAGTTAGTTAATGTCCAAAGGCTTTTCTAGGTACCCACATTCGCCCTGCTACTTCAACTAATTAGAACCCAATGGCGTATGGGCTAATGCCCCATAGAAGTTGAACGAATGATGCCCACTTTCACAGAGGAATGTTTGGATTGGTAAACTATGCGTGGTTTGCATTGCAAGAAGCAAGAAATAGGGGACCACATAACCGATTCCAAAAATTGAACAGTTAAAGTGTAATCCTTCATATCATGAAGTATCAACAGCAATAACGAGAGAGATTGGATTATTGGAGATTATGGATTATGGGAGATTATTGGATCGGACTCTGTTCACGTAGAAAAGATCACTAAAGCTACAATACTGGGTACTGTCAATGGTTACGTGGATTTCTCCCTCACTGAGAAAATTTGCCATCAACAAATGTGCGAGGCTTCCCGGAGCGCAATAAAACCCACAGTTTCTAATGACGGTTGCAACCATTGTCTTGACAATATAACAATGCCGATCAAGTGACAAATAAAAAATAATGGTGCTTAACATACTGCAATAAAACCGGTGGTTTCCTGATTCTATTCGGAAGTGCACAAAAACCGTATTTATATTAGGTGACTGGTTGTTTTTTCACTCTTCGACAAATGATTGAACGCATTCGTCAATACTGTGCTCTCACACGATCTAGAGCACATTTGAGTACAGGTTGCCGTGTGTTATCGGCCTTCATCGTCCCAGTACCGTAGCACACGTGACGTACTACACGATTTAACCACATCACGACACTAACGGTGACTGAGTAGTCGGCCACAAACTGACGGTTTTTAGGCGGATGGTTTCGCGATGCACATATCTTGTGGGAACACATAATTCCTTAGTGAAACAAGAAACCAGCGTGCGTTTTGATCAGCTAGGAGTAGAATGGCTCCGTCTGTAAGGAGGCTATGGACATCCGAGTACCAAACCACTAAAGGGACTGAGATGTGCGTGACGGGATGTCGGGACACTAACTGATTAACTATTATCAACTTGTGTGTTGGTGACAAGACTGCCGAATTCAGAAAAGACATTGAGAGGAAGCAGTATACATCAAGGCTTGTAATCAGCAATCATGGCACGAATGAGAGACAACATCAGACAGATACAGCCAAAGCGATGATGAGATGCTTTAAAAGGTACAACGGTCTTCCTAAATCAGGGCTAGCAAAGTAACTTACTCGTGTAAAGTCACACGCCACTGTTTTGGTGTCCACGTGAAACTGGTCTTTTATTTCCTTTGAAATTTTGTCCAGCTTTTCCTGGTTCCGACTGATGAGCATAATGTTCAACCCATCCTTTGCCAGCTCTTGAGCATAGGCCTTTCCGATTCCATCGGTGGCACCCGTAACGATGGCCCACTTCCCAGCCTTCTTTAGTTGATTTCGTCTAGAATATATTCTCTTGCCCACTGTGTAGAGGAAAATAATACGCAGGACAGGGAAGATGATCTTCCAGAAAAACAGAAGAGCGACGAAAGAGAACAGCACGTCTTGAACAGACATTGTCATTGACAACGGATTCGGCTGGAAAAACGGGAGTGGGATAAAAAATTGCATGCAAATCAGTGGAAAATACATATGACTCCCTTGTATCAGTTCAGCCCAGAAAATCAGCGATAAACCACGCACTAACAATAGGTTGGTTCTAGGCGCCACAGTTTATCATCGTCATCAGAGACAGCAGCATCAGTGTTGACACTGATGCTTCACTGCCGTACGACCACGCAGTTCATCTGGTTATGTTTAAAGCCTTAGAGTGGAAAAAGTAGGTAAGGGAGGGGACATGGTGATGACCCATCGCAAGCATTCTGAGGTGTACACGCCTCCAAGCGCTCGGTCAGACAATCTGGAAAGTACCGAGAACACGAAAGCCACTGGCATCGACCAGCTACCACTTCTTGAAATGTCCCCAGACAAGCACGGGGAACCGATCCAAGAAGGCGTACCGCATTAACAACACTCAACCTCTTGTATTCTCTTCCACACCCTTCTGTGCAGTAATAAGTTGTCAACCTCGCGGTTAGCGCCATTGCGAAGGAGGCATGGAGACCAGTTCTCGTCTCGGTAGACGGTGATTCGGTATATGTAACACATGGCCGAGTCATCGCGGTCCATGGTGCTGGATGCTTTCCACGATTGAAGTACCCAATTCGCAACGAAATACCCGTTTTCTAATTACCCCGTTAAGAATTCGTTGACGCGATTCAAAACCAGCAACGCTTCTGAGACATCAGTGATTAAGATCCGAAGACGCCTCACATCATCTGTCTGCAGAGGCCACGTCTCGCGACCATACGACAACACAGCCCTTGCTGTAGCCTGGTACACGTGACCCTAGAGACTCCTCAGTATGCCTTTCCAATTCCACAAGCAACGTAACTTGGCAAACGTGATTTGCGCACCGACTTCGTCAGATGCAATTTCGTCAGAGCCAATACAAGTGAGATATCTAAAATTCTCCACAAACTCTAGTAATTCTCCTTGAATTGTAAGAAATATGCCCAGAGGTTGCACGTTATGGATAAAAATAATCGTTCCACTGTAACACCCTTTCGGTGCCATACAATCCGGAGGAAGTACGAGGCACGACTCTGCACTTTGAAGGTGCAAGGAGCATGCCCAAAGATGGTATGATGGTGGTCAGTTTATTCAACAGAGCTTTTGGAAAACCTGTCTTAGAAGAAGAAGGTGATGTCGTCTGCAAACTCCATATGGATAAGATTCTCACCAGAAACGATTTGAACAACGCGGTTTTGAAGACCATCAAACCGCTTCAGTATTTCATCAAGAACGATGGACAAGAACGAAGAGAATGGAAATTCTCGTTGGACACCACCTTCTGTAGGGAAGCTTTTGAACAGCTCACCAAACGCTTTCACGCTCAGATGTGAACATAGGGAGCGGATCAGGCTCAAAAACGTCTGGGGCATACCCTATTGAGGAAGCGTGGTTAAAATAGCCGACGGATCGATAGAACCGAACGCATCCAGGGAGTCAGGCAACACCGGGTTGAGCGCAAAGATGCAGTCGATGCAGCCACAAACCGGTCGAATTCCTGGTTGTTGCTCACGTGTCGCTGTAAGATGACGAGGAAACAGTGACGCTAGAAGCCCTGTTAAGATGGGAGTCAAACTAACACCTAGGTGGTTATCACATATACTGCAACCGCTC